AAAAAACACAAAAAAGAAAAGCCATGTCAGCCTGATGGCAGATTAAAAAAAAAAAAAAAAAGATGATAGTCATCAATTTTAGAATTTGAAAAATTATTATATGAAAAAAATTAATGAACAATTGAATCAACATGATATTACAATAAAACTGTAGAGTGCGGTGGCGTTAATAAGGAGTCATTTTTTCAAGGCCAAATCAGCAATCACAGGGCGATGATCACTAATATACATTCCATCGTCATAACGATTTGACATAACACCGTGATTCAATACTTTAACGGATCCATTCGACAATGCGTTATCGCTAGCAAAAATAAAGTCTATCCTAACAGGTTCTACATCTGGGGAGAACCCTGTGAACGTATAAGAATCACCGAAAGAAGTTGTTTTCGGCCGACTGATCTCATACCGCGTATCTCGAAGTATTGGGAATTTCAACCCTGTCTCCCTTTTCCCTGTGATAATTCGATAAGGCTCGTCGCTTTCCTTACAATTAAAATCGCCTGTAAGAACTACCGCATCAGAAGAAATTTTCAACAATTCTCGATATTTTTCGAGTATGAGTTTCGCACTTTCTTCTCGCGCGATATGTCCACGATCATCGAGGTGGGTATTGAGGAAAAAGAAAGTTGAGTTTGTAAATGTATCTCGAAAACTGTGTGTGGAAGATAACGTCAAAATATTTAATAAGCAATGTTGTAATGAACCGAAAGACGGAGAACATATTCCGAAACCTTGCTTGAGTGACCATCCCTTGTATGCCAGATCAAAAAACATTTTAGTAATTAAAATGTTTAAAATGGGATTTTATCTTTTCAGAAGCGGGCACTTACGAGGTAATCCTGCATCCCAACCTTTACTGGGAACATCTGGAGTCTGAAACAACGACAATATGTTGGCCGATATTTCGTGATAAAAATTTAGAGATTGTACTGTCGATTTCATAACCAACCTTTGAAAGCCAAAAATTTTTTGATTCTAAAAGTTCGACACGTCTCCTATTATTATCAAAAGAAAAATATTTAAAATAGCGACGGATGATGTTACACAATCAAAATTTAAAATAATTTACGTGTTATAAAAGATCGGTACAAATTCTCCTGGAAAAGTCGTTATACAGTATGCTATGTTAATTTGGAATAAAGATTATTTTAAGAAGTGATGGTTCCATACCTCCGTACTTTCCATCGTCACGACCAGCCCCAGTCCATTTCCAATCCTTCCCAAGCAAAACCTCCAGATCTTTCACTTGATTGTGTAGGACCTCCTAAATAAAGCGAAAAAAATTTTATCATTTTCTATTTCGCGTAATAATTGTCCGGAGTATCTTACCTGTAGTCCGACAATGTTCACTTTATGGAAAAGAATAGCGTCAGCCACTTTTTTTCTTCTAACATACCAAGGCTGTTCACCAATAAGCATGCCTAGAGAAATAAAGTTTTCACTTTCCACGAAGGATAATGCGGGAGGACTATTATGACCGTCATAACGAATATTAAAAGTGGCAATTCGAAGTGAATTTTGCTCGCTCATCATTGACGCAGTTACAGAATTGAGGACAACAAGCAAGGATGTGAAAATTTTCAAACAAAACATCATCATTATTTATTGCATTTATCTCTTTGCGGCGATTGATCGCTGGATAAATGAAAACTTTCGTTATTCCAAAAGGGTTTGTTAGTATGTGACAATTTTTTCTGCGTGTGCAACACTCGGAATTCTTTATACGGTCGATCTGCTTAACTTTCAAAAAAAAAAAAGTGAATTAAATTATTAATTTCCTAGAATTCGGTAATTTTATTTAAAAATTCTTAACGAATACAGTTATTGCAAAACAAACAGTTTGACGCAAATCCGATTTTCGGAACCTTAAATATTACGTGTCATAAAAAATAGTATACGCCACGTGAGATGCATGTCTAGGGCTTCCATAAATAACTATTTTTTTTTAGTTGCAATTTTTAATTTTATAAATTTCAAAAATTCCAAGAATGATTCGAAGAAGCCCGACACGTCTAGAAATTCGTCAAGACGACGTTGATCGTCTTCAATCTTTTCGTCAGGAATACAAAAAAAAACTTTCGCAAAAACCTGGTGCAAGCGGTAAGGGTAAGAGAAAAAGTATGGAAATTGAAGAGGGAGTCGAAGCAAGTATAAATTTCACACAAACTGAACAATATCAACCACCTCGAGCAGAGGAGGTGCCCGTGGTTGGGGCTGAGGAAGCTCGAAACAGAAGAAAAAATTTGTAAGTTGCGGTAGCTGTTTGAAATTACATGTTTTGTTTGAATTCATGTTTATTTTTTAAATTCTTGTAGAACTGCACAGGAAAGGATTGGTTTATAAGATCCTTGTGAAGTTGGTTTCATAATGCGGACAAACTGGAAAACAATTTTTGTGATGAAAAATTTTCCCCCGTTGATGGATTTCGAATTTTTAATTATCAACGTCTTCAAACTCCACCAGAACTTCATCCGCAGCCACTGCTTCACCTGGCTTAATGTATACTTTTTTCACTTTACCAACGCGTGCCGCACGTAGTACGTTTTGCATCTTCATTGCTTCCACCACAGCGATCTCGGCTCCCTCATTGACCTGAAAAATACGACAAATAGTTTTAACGCAATTATTTACACGTTCATCATATAAATTATTTAAAACTCACCAAATCTCCAACTTTGACCGCCAAGCTTACGACACTGCCTGGCATAGGACTTAATATTACTTTTGATAAATCTGGCTTCGGTTTTTCAATCATATGTTTGCTCAATTCATATTGTCTCTCATTGAGAACTGAGACTTCAAATTTTGATCCAAGGTATTGAAGACGGAAACCAAGCGGTAGTGCGTCCAAGTATTGTGTGGTGATGACTGATTCGCCATCATGATTATTATCATGGACATATGCGTTGATCAGGGGTGATTCTAATGGCCATTGGGCTCTTATTGTACTTGTTTGGCCGTTCTCTGTTATGATCTTTGAATTCCGAATTACTCATTATATCATTATCATTAATAAAAAATTTTTTCGAGATATCCAATATTACCTGGAACTCATCCTCTTCGTGTAAATCCTTTCCTTTCCTTTCAATTGTTACATTAACCGGCGGAATTTCTTTACTGACTGTGACGTAAAGATTCCACTTATTTGGTACCCTTTCGTTCAACGCTCCCTTCAGTAGCGCTTCTTTTCCGGTACCCCACTTCCAATTTCTTAAATCTCTTTTAGCATAAACAAATGCGGCAATAGAAACCAATTCGTGTAGTGATTTATCATTCAGAGCAACTCCCTTAAACCCTCCAGGATACTCCTCGGCGAGGAACTTTGTGGAAATTTTGCCGGAACGGAATCTCTTGCTCCCAATAACATCACGTAACAATGGAATGTTATGCGTGACTCCTAATGAAAAAAAAGATTTTTTACATAAATAAAAATGCACTCATACTTTAGTTCTAAGTCAAATAAATACCTTTAATAACGTAAGAGTCCAAAGCCTTCAGCATTTTCTCAATGGCATCGTCTCTTGTTTCCCCGTAAGTGGAGAGCTTGCAGATCAGAGGATCATAGTATATACTAATTTCGCTTCCTTCGACAATACCAGAATCACAGCGAACATCATTCTTGCCAGTTTGGCTGACCGGTTCTATATATTTGTTCAAATACCCGATAGATGGCAGGTATTTTTCGGGGTCCTCTGCATACACACGTGACTCGATGGCCCACCCATTGATCTTAAGGTCGTCTTGGGTGAATGCTAATTTCTGATTGGCCGCGATGCGAATCATTTGTTCGACTAAATCGAGCCCCGTGATAAATTCCGTAATCGGGTGTTCAACTTGTAGACGTGTATTCATTTCCAAGAAGTAAAAGTTGCGTTGCGAATCCACCAAAAATTCGACTGTCCCGGCTGATACGTAGCCGACATGTTTGGCCAGGGCTACGGCTTGTTCGCCCATGGCCTTGCGTGTGGGTGGGTCCAGGTGTACACTGGGTGCCTCTTCGATAACCTATGCGAAGAATTCCGGAGAATTGTATGAAGAAAATGATTTAGCATTCCGGAGATACGAACATCACATTAACCTAACCTTTTGATTTCTCCTTTGAATTGAACATTCTCGTTCTGGGAGATACAGCGCGTTCCCAAATCTATCTGCGATAAGTTGAATTTCAATGTGACGCGGGTTATCGATGTATTTCTCGATCAATATACGGTCGTCACCGAAACTCGACAAAGATTCTTGTGAGGCGATTTTAAATCCATCAATGACTTCCTGATCATTCCTTATTTAAAGAAATAAATTCTAACTTGGTAAAAAAGTTTTTTTTTTTTTTTTTGAATCAACGTAATTGCGGTTCCGGAACTTACCACGCAATACGCATACCCTTACCCCCGCCTCCCGCGGAAGCCTTTAGCATTACAGGATACCCGACTGATTGAGCTAAGATGAAGTTCAATATTATTAGTGTGAATGTCAATAAAGCGTAACAAGTCGGTATATGATGTATACCAATTTCCAGAGCATGGTTAGTATCCTTAATTACCCCGTCGAAACCGGGGATGGTGTTGACACCCGAATTCTTGGCAATAATCTTGCTTTGAATCTTGTCACCCAAGTCCGCCATCGCCGACTCGCCGGGTCCTATAAACACAATGCCGGCTTCACTCAGAGTCTTCACAAATGCCGAATTTTCTGACAGAAACCCATAACCTGTGTACCACCATAATACGTTTAAATACAATATATAATCACACACATTCAGGTGCCGTCATTTTATTTCAGCTGCAAACTGTACCCGGATGTACGGCCTGTGCCCCAGTTGACTCGATCGCTTTGAGGATATTCGAGATGTTGAGGTAACTTTGACTTGTTGGCGCAGGCCCCTAAAATGACGTGTTTATTTTGGTACACAGATCAACTCGCACATTAAACCTTCCTTACCACGTTGACGGCTTCATCGGCCATTTGAACGTGCAAACTCCGTGCATCCGCGTCCGAATAAATGGCCACAGTTTTAATGCCCATCTTTTTAGCAGTGCGGATAACACGACAAGCGATTTCTCCGCGATTGGCGATTAGAATTTTGTCAAAGGTCTAGAGGAATTCGGGTGATAATGTTATTTACAATTATTCATAATATTGAAGGTTTATTATTTGGAAGGTCAAGAAATTAATAAACTTTCCTTATCATTATAACCCGATGGATGTTCTTGCGTTTTCGCGTAATGTGTTTTAAGAGAAGAATGCAAGCATCGAACCAATTGAATTATCGAAGGACGGTGAAACACGGAATTGGCGTATATTAAATTGTTAGTGAAAAGAGTCCCGACCCCGACCCGTTTATTGAAGGTGCATATACGAGTGGCCATGGTGAAAAGCAAAATGTATTGACAAAAAGACCGAGTCTTTCGGGAACCTATTTAAACCAAGATTCACAGCATCATACGATAATTCTTTTGGGCAATGATCAACCACGTGTTATCAAATTTAAAATTCATTTTATCTGGCCACTTTTTTGCGAATGGTTGAGTCCTTTTTTTTTTTGGTGGCGACTCAATTTCTCCCTCTTACCTTTTGGTTTGAATCCATATTGCCATGCATAAAATAATTCCTTTTACGCGTAATGCTAGTTATTTGAGAAAAATTCCTCCCTTTATCGCACGAATACCGCTCGCTTTTCCCGAAGCTAGGTCAGAATTCTGCAGAATTACACCTTTATCTGTGTCAGCTCAAATTCGCGAATATGCCTCTGGAAATACCAAGGAGGAGGTGCTCGAATTAAAATTGATGCTCTATTTAAATATTCGCTTTTAATGAAACTTAAAAAGCGGGTTCCATAAAATTTTCCAACTGAAACTTTATTGTTCACCAGGAAACTTTATCGCGAGTTCAATTGTTGCGAAATGAAGCCCGCCTGGGAGGTGGTCTGAACAGAATTGCAACCCAACATAAAAAGGTAACTTTTTTGGTTATCAGAGCGAGGAAAAAATACCATTTTTTTTTTTTTTTTCAGGAATTTTATGGGAAAACCTGACTGATTTTTTCATTTCACTAGGGTAAATTAACTGCGAGGGAGCGCATCGATTTACTTCTAGATCCTGGCACGTTTAACGAATATGATACCCTTGTGGAACACCAATGTACCGATTTTGGCATGGAAAAAAATAAGGTAAGTTGAAAGCTACTATAAAAAGCATTGAATGAGTGTGGGTAGGTGGTAAGCATCTGGCATTTAAGCAATCTTGAATTTTCCGCGGCATAAATAGGTAATAGGTGATGGTGTGGTAACGGGACACGGTACAATAAACGGTCGTCGAGTATTTGTTTTTTCCCAAGATTTTACTGCTTTCGGCGGCAGCTTGTCAAAGATGCACGCACAAAAGATATGTAAGATTATGGATATGGCTGCGAGGGTTGGTGCCCCTATAATAGGTTTGAATGATTCTGGTGGCGCTCGTATTCAGGAAGGTGTCGATTCGCTTGCTGGATATGCCGAAATATTCCAGAGGAACGTTTTATCATCCGGTTTCGTGCCTCAGATTTCTCTAATAATGGGGCCGTGCGCTGGTAAATAACTTTACACGCCTCGTTTGTAACTTGCAGGGTAGATAAGGTTCGTTCACTAATCTTTATTTGATAAATTAGGTGGTGCCGTGTACTCACCGGCTCTTACCGATTTCGTGTTCATGGTCCGCGATACATCATATCTATTCGTCACGGGTCCTGATGTTGTTAAAGCGGTATGCAATGAAGATGTGACACAAGAAGAACTTGGCGGAGCAAAAACACATACTGTCGTGTCTGGTGTGTAATTGGTGTCCATTATGGTTCACCGCTTTTCATTGGAAGGTGTAGCCTCTTTTCAAATAATAAGATATTGCGTCGTTTTTTTTTCTCTTTGTTAAAGGGGTTGCACATTGCGCTTTCGAAAATGACATCGAATTACTTCAACGGTAATTATTTGAACATCATACCACTTCATTTATAATCACTTTTATGGCTCCATTTAATTATTCCTTTTAAATGTACACCACCTGAAAGTACCCGCGAATTTTTTGATTTTCTCCCCCTCTCAAACCGGGAACAAGCTCCGGTCCGTTATTCCGATGATCCACCAAATCGTGAAGATGAAGCGCTCAATCACATTATTCCAGCCGATTCCACAAAAGCATATGACATGCGTGAAATAATTACTCGTCTTGTGGATGATGGAAATTTCTTTGAAATAATGCCGGAATATGCAAAAAACATCGTCATTGGTTATTCTCGAATGGGCGGTCAAACCGTTGCGGTTGTTGGAAATCAGCCGATGGTATCTTCCGGAGTGTTGGACATCAATTCCTCGGTGAAGGCTGCTAGATTTGTGAGATTCTGCGATGCCTTTAATATCCCCATCATTACGTTGGTTGATGTGCCCGGATTTCTTCCCGGCACCGCCCAAGAGCACAACGGTATCATTCGTCACGGTGCAAAGTTACTTTACGCATATGCTGAGGTAATATCAATAATGCTAAATGTGTGGATACTTGAAGGCAGCCTAAAAGAAATCTATTTGTTTTCCCAAGGCCACCGTTCCCAAAATCACGGTGATCACCAGAAAGGCCTATGGTGGTGCATATGATGTCATGTCAAGCAAGCATCTCCGTGGTGACGTATGCATCTGATTGTCAATATCCCATTCGTGTTGGAATTAAGATTTAATAAAATCATTGGTTCTCTCAGATTAATTATGCGTGGCCGACCGGCGAAATTGCAGTCATGGGAGCTAAGGTATCAAATATATATATATATATATATCCGTGTATCTAATCTGATCAGTAAATCGTATTTGAAAAATAGGGTGCCGTTGAGATTATCTTTAGACATGTGGTCGATCGAACCCAAGCGGAAAAAGAATATATCGGTAAGCACGTTAAGACAGAAATTTTGGCATTCGCGAACTCGCATTTTTCTTGAAATATCATTTTTACGTACCACAATCCTTCTAGACAAGGTATGAACAAAAAAGTTTTAGACAATGACTTTTAAATTTTTGTCCATAGCTAACTTCCTGAATGTCCTTAGTTTGCCAACCCGATACCTGCCGCGCAAAGAGGGTGTGTATTAAAAATAATAATAATAAATTTTTATCGTCAAAGGCGCGCACATATGCCTCATATGAACTTTTTTCGTTATTTAGTTTCCTGGATGACATTATTCTACCGGCAGTAACGCGCAAGAGAATTATCCAAGACTTGGAAGTGCTCAAGTCCAAAGAGTTGCCAATCATACACAAGAAGCATGATAATTGTCCGTTATAAGCAATGACATTGCCTAATTCATTTGGAAATTCATTTCCAGGAATTTGGGAACCTTAAATGAAACGGTTTAAATGTGGTTCAAAGGTTGTTATGTTGTAATACGAACGATGCATTTTAAAAAAAAAACCAGAACGAGAAACTCTACGGAATAAAGTTTTTGAATAGCCCGAATTTATGTATTTACCTCTAATCTTGTGAATTCTCGATGCAATATTTCTCATACATTGACCCTTCACAATATTAAAAACAAAGAATGTAGAATTATCTAAGGTTTATTTTTTTCATATTTATTATATTGTACTTAATGATTTGAATACCTATCCGAAAATAATGCAATAAAACAACATATAAAAGTATTTAAAAATTTGTCTACTTACAGTACATAGGGATATTAATAGTTCGATCCTTAAACCATTTATTGTAATTCAAGAATTGATCATTTTTACTGTCAATCCCGTGTTTCAATTACTATTTATAACTGTTTATGAAAATACAAAATAGCAGTCACTTTAACAATAAAACAACTCTTTCCACTGATTCTCCGGGCATACAAAAAAGATATTTGCTTGAAAGTCTTTTGACTTTTTGGCTAATAAAGTCAACATCTTCTTTAAAACAATTTAAAAAGTATTTTCAAAGGTCACTTTTATATTTTCCTTCTTGTTTTAATCAAAAATTTGATTTCTAATGATTAAAATAAGTCTGACAAATATTTTTACTATCAATAGCAAAAAGTTTCTAAAGAAAAAGAACTAGTTGTAAAGTATTTTTTTTTATAGTTATCTACATATATTTTTTTAGAGTTAAAATTTTGAATGATACAATTCTCATTAAGTATTTTAGACGATGGGTACCAGCAATTAGAAAAATATATCGAGATAATTAGAAGAGAGTGTCCGAAAAATTATACTGATTCTGATGTTTTGGATTCAAGAGTTATGATCAAAAGTGGATCCTCTTAATTAAGAGATTAATGATGAAATTCTCCATTATTTTAAAAATAGATGTCCAACTTACGAAAAATCACATCCCAGTGATTTATCATGATTGGACAGTCACCAAAACTGGTTACAGACTTTCACAAAGCATCTAACTTGTTATTATATATTATTAGTTAAAGGATTACATTACTTAAAAAATATAAGAAATCCACTAAGCTAGTTCAGACTAAATAAAACTAAGGTTAAACTAGGTACTCTAAATCAGATTTAGGGAACAATATTTCACTCTCCTAGTAACTTGGCAATAGTGCTTCTAAGTCAATCAGGGTCATTATCAACAATTTGTCACTATAGATTATCCCGAAAAATGGTGAATTGCTAAAGTTGGCACTGGAAAAAAGAGAAAGGGAAATGCAAATTAAAGCTCTCCAAAAAGTTTTTCCATTTCATAGTTTTTTCTTGAAAGGGGTTTGCCTAATTGGGATATTCTCTAAGCTTTATGAAGTTTGAGAAACTTAGCCATTCCTGAAAGTGACTTTAAGAAGAACGTTTGAGAAACTTATCCTTCTTCCGATGTATGAATTCACTTATTGCTAGTGAGGTCAGGGTCATATTACAAAAGAGTTTGCCTGATCGGGATAAAAAAATCTTTTCAAGAACTTTGCTTAACTGGAATAGAAGCTTGAAGACCTCAGCTTTTATCCAAGAAAGCATTTTTACTACCTGAGGAACTTAATAAGAGATGGGAGTTGAATCTTCTTTTCATACCTGTCACTCACCTTTC